AGCATGTCTCTGTTTTTGTTAGGTGCCATCAAGTTGGTTCCAACTCATAGCAGCCCTGTGTATAACAGAACACAACGCTGGGTATATAATCTTCACAGTTATATTTGAGCTCATTGTTGCAATCACCATCAGTCCATCACAGTGGAGGTCGTCTTCTGTTTTGTGGACACTCTCTATGCTTTGCCGAGCATGATGTCCTCCAGGGACTGGTCCCTGCTAACAGTATGTCCATTGTACATGAGATGAACTCTAGCTGTCTTCACTTTTAAGGAGAATTCTGGCTGTACTTCTTCCAAGACATTGTTCATTCTTCAGGCAGTTGATGGTAATATTAATATTTTTCACTAACATCAATTCTCTAACTTTCCTTATTCATATTGCATATATGAGGCAATTGAAAACACCATGGCTTGGTTCAGGAGCATGTCTTTGCAGTTTAAAGCTGTCTTTTGCAGTAGGTTTGACTGCTGCTTCCATGAGCATTGATTGTAGATCCAAGTAAAATGAAATCCTTGACAGCTTCAATTGTTTCTCCATTTATCATGCCTTTGTCTATTGGTCTAATTGTAGAGAATTTTGTTTACTTTACATTGAATTGTAATCCATACTGCAGGCTGTATGTTTGATCTTCATCAGCTAAGTGCTTCAAGTCCTCTTCGCATTCTGCAAGCAAGGTTGTGTCATTTGCATATCACGGGTTTGTTACTGAATCTTCTCCCGATTCTGATGCTGTGTTCTTCTTCATATAGTCCAGCTTCTTGAATTATTTGCTCAGCATACAGATTGAATAACTATGGTGAAAGATTACAACCCTGGTGCCCAGCTTTCCTAATGGTAAACCATGCATTGTTCTGTTTGAATGACTCTTGGCTGCTGTACAGGTTCTGTGTGAGCACAATTAAGAATTCTGAAATTCCCAGTATTCACAATGTTAGCCATCATTTATTATGGTCAACACAGGCTGATGCCTTTGCATAATCAGTAAAACACAGTAACCATCTTTATGGTATTTTCTGCCTTCAGCCAAGATCCATCTGATATTAGCAACAATATTCTTCATTCTTCATCTTCTTCTGACTCTGACTGGGATTTCTGACAGCTCTGTATCAATGTACTGCTACAACCATTTTTGAATTCTCTTCAGCAAAATTTTACTTGTATGATTTTCATGAGATTGTTAATGTCATTTCCATATTCTATTCAGTCACCTTTCTATGGACCGAGCATAAATAAGGGTCTCTTCCAGTCAGTTGGCCTGGTAGCTGTCTTGCAGATTTCTTGGCATAGACGAGTGAGTGCTTCTAGTGCTGTGGCAGTTTGTTGGAACGTTCCAGTTAAGATCCCATCAGTTTTTGGAGACTAGTTTTTCACCCATGCGTTCAGTGCAGATTGTACCGTACCTTCGATTCTTGATAATGTTATCTCATTAAATGATGGAATGTTGAGCAATTCTTTTTGGCACAGTACTCTATATATTCTTTCCATCTTCTTTTGATGCTTCATGCATTGTTCAATATTTTGCTCATAAAAGCCAAAACTAAACCCAGTACTGTAGAATTAAGTCTGACTTTTATCAACTCATATCAACAGTTTCCTATACCATCAATGTTTACGGGACCAAAGTAGCCTCATCTTTCTCCCATGGAGCTGCTGGAGAATTTGATTTTGCTATAGAATCTTCAATATTGTCATTCAAGGACTGAATGTTTTCTTCAATTCTTTTAGCTTGAGAAATGGCAGTATGGTCTTCTCTTTAGGTTTTTTAAACTCTAGGTGTTTGTACATTTCATTCTAATACTTTACTTGGTGTTCTCAAACTGCCCTTTGTAATCTTCTGTTTAGCTCTTTTACTTCGTCATTTCTTCCTTTCACTGTAGCTTCTCTAGAATAAGTTTCAGAATTTCTTCTGGCATCTATTTTGGACTTTCTTCCTGCCTTTTTAATAACTTTACATGATGTTATCCCACAACTCATCTGATCTTCATTCATTAATGTTCAGCACGTCAAATCTCTTCTTGAGATGGTCTCTAAATTCATGTGAGATATACTCAAGATCATATTTTGGCTTCTGGCCTTGTTGTGGCTGAAGATACTGAGCTTCTCCATTGTATCTTTTCACAGATATAATCAGTTTGATTCCTGTATATTACATATGGCAGGTCTGTGTAGATAGTGCTGAGTTTATTGAAAAAAAGTATTTGTAATGAATAAGTTCTTGCTCTTGGGAAATTCTGTCATACAATCTCCAGTGTCATTGTTATCATCAAGTTCATACATTCCAATTATCAGTCAGTGCTTCCTTTGTTTCAACCTTCTGCATTCCAGTCACCAGTAATTATCAATGCACCTTAATTGCATGTTTGATCAATTTCAGGCTGCGAAGTTGGTAGAATTCTTCAATTTCTTTAATATTGGCTTTAGTAATTACTACGTAAATTTGCGTTAATAATGGTGTTGACTGGTCTTCCTTGTAGGTTTGTGTATTTTATCCTATCACAGACTGCATTATATTTTAAGATATATCTTGAAATGCTCTTTTTGACAATGAATGTGAAACTATTCCTCTTCAGTTTTTCATTTACATTATATTAAACTATACGATTTTCCAATTCTAAATGGCCAATACCAGTTTTAGCTCACTGATGCCTACCTAGGATATTGATGGTTTATGTGTTCCATTTCAGTTTTTCAGCCTCCAGGTTTTATACTTCGTATGTTCAACCTTCCGATTCCTGTTTGCAGCTCTTTCTTCTTTTGTCTGAATCATGCCACATCAGCTAATGAAGGTCCTGAAAGCTTTCATTCATCCATGTTGTTGATGAATGTTTTGAGGAGGCAGCTCTTCCTCAGTCACATTTTGAGTGCCTTCCAGTCTGAGGGGCTCATCTTTCGGCACTGTATCAGATAGTATTCGCCTGCTATTCGTATGATTTCCAATGACTAATTTTTCGAAGTAGACCCACCTTTCCCTCCTTCAGGTCTGCTTTAGTCCTGAAGCTCCACTGAAAGCTGTCCAGCATGGGTGAACCTGCTGATTTGGAATACCTGTGGCATACCAGTAGCTCCCAGCATCACGATATGCAGGCCTCCACAGTAGGACAGACTGACAGCTGAGTGCTGGAGCATGTGTCTGTACTACCATTGGACCCTCCATCTTTCCTTGTCTTTCATAGTCCTGGCATGGTTTATGAATACAGGCCAGTTCTTGTAGAATGACCCTCAGGTGTGTCTGGGCTGGCTCCTCACGATTGGCATCAGGTTAGAGCACTTTTGGCAGAATGCTGCCAAGAAAGGTCAGGTATCTTCTTCGGTGCATCATGTCAGGAGGCCCACATGACCATTTGTCTCCTTCCTAATGACAGTGTGAATGTGAGTACTAGATGAAGGAGGTGTCTATCAGCTTTCTCTATGTTGCTGATTTCCCCTTTGTAATTAGTAAGTACTAAAGGAGCGCTAAGGAGCTCTGGTAGCGTAGTGGTTATGAATTGGGTTGCCAACCTCATGGTCAGCAGTTCGAAACTACTAGTGGCTCTGCGGGAGAAAGATGAGGCATTCTGCTCCCGTAAAGATTAACAGCCTTGGAAACCCTGTGCAGGGTCGCTATGAGTCAGAACCGACTCCACGGCACATAGCAACAACAGCAACAAAGTAACTCTGTTGTAGTGCTGTGGATTAATGTGCCAGACTGCAAAGCCATTTCAACTGCAAGGTTTGCGGTTCAAGCTCACCAGCTGCTCCTAGGAAACCCTACACAGGGTCGCTATGGGTCAGGATCGACTCAATGGCACTTAATAACAACAACAACAAAGGAGCTCTGGTAAGCAGAGTGGTTACAAATCGGGCTGCTAATCTCACTGTCAGCAGTTCGAAACTACCAGCTGTTCCATGGGAGAAAGATGAGGCTTTCTGCTCCTGTAAAGATTTGCAGCCTTGGCAACCCTGTACAGAGTCACTATGAGTCAGAACCGACTCCACGGCACATAACAACAACAACAATAGAAGATACTTTGAGTCTATGTGGGTATTGTTTCTTATTAAACTCTCATATGCTAGTTTTGGGGTCCTGGTGTGGCACTGTGGGTTAATTTGCTGAACTGTAAAATCAGTTTGAACTGCAAGGTAATCGTTTCAAGCTCACCAACTGCTCCTCGGAAACCCTGTACAGGGTCGCTATGAGTCAGAACCGACTTGACAACACTTAACAACAACAACATGCTAGTTTTAGCATCCACTGAAGGTCTTTATTAGTTTTGCTATGGGAAATTTTATTAGTTTTGCCAAATGGTGAATATTTCCTAATAAGTCATTCCTTCTGTATTTGCTTTTCTGCATTCTGCTCTAAGGAAGAACTTTGCCTTTTCCTCTATTGATTTATTTGCTTAATTATTTATGAATTGCTTTTGTGTGCCATTACTTATCATTTTTCACTGCTAGTATTGAATTTGGAGCCCTCTAGGTTGTGCCGTGTGCCGTTTGATACATTTTCCTGATTCTTTGAATACTTCTTTACTGCTTCCTGGCACAAAATGGTCCAGTTGCATCTTGTATTTACCCTATGGCCTAGGGTCAGCTGTGTCTCTCCAAGGATGCTTGGTTTCTTGTAATGGATAAGGGCATTTAGAACCCACAGTCTGGGTACCAAGTGTGCTGCTGCCACTAAAGCACCAATGCGTCCAGCCCCTTTCATCAGAGAGCAAGGAAGTATAGCCCTAGTTGTTGGTTGGTGCAAGTGGTTATGTGCTCAGTTGTTTACCAAAAAGACTGGAGGTTCAAGGGTGTCCCGTGGTGCCTCGGAATAAAGTCCTGGTGATCTGCTTTCAAAAAGTCAGCCCTTGAAGACCCTATGTCCAGTTCTACTTTGACACACATGGGATCACAGTGAGTGAGCATCTACTGGACCAGAGCTGGATATATACATATAGACACACATCCACACAAATCATTCTAGATTTAAAAATTGTTAGCAATAAATTGGTTGTTGTTGTTTTTTTATTCCCTAGGCTTTTTCTCCTCCGTGACAGCCAGAGTAATCCAAAGGCATTTGTACTCACACTGTGCCATCACCAGAAGATAAAAAACTTTCAGATCTTACCTGTAAGTATTGATATTTTCATACACAGTTTTATTCTATTATTTCTAGTTTTATTCTTAATGTGCTTTTATAAGTTATAGACTAAGCTATGTAACATTAAATAGTAGACAGTTCTGCGCTCACAGATGAGATACTTTCAGGAGTCTCTGTAATGGTTTGCTATTTGACATTTGGACCAGCGTTTCCCTAGAAATTGCATGTAAGTGAGGATACTGTGCAAAGGGCCTTCCACACGTTTAGCTCCTAGTTGAAGGTGAAGAGACACCACCAGCATAGTGAGCCCTGTCCTATTGGGGAGGAGCAGTGTGGTGGGTGATGAAAACCGGGATTGTGGAACAGGTTTCACCATTGGCCTTGTGAACCCAAGGAATTGTCTGATCTATGCTGGTGTGTACCACAATACAAGAATGTTGTAGAACAATTAACCCAAGTGGACCACCAATAAGAAAAAAAGTTCCTTATTCAACTCGGTCCTGGCACCAAAAAGCTATCTGTCTTTGAACAATTATAAAAGCATAATTAGAAAATATGAAGGTACTGGTCACCACTACTTATTTTACAAACAGTTTTTGTTAGGTTTGTCTAGTATGGTTTAGTGTACCAGCGTCAGCTTTTAGTTTATGATTTCGATGATGGACGTGACAGGATTATGGTAGTGGAGTAGGTTACATGTTGGGCTGCTGAGTACAAGGTCAGCGTGGATGGATATGCCCTTGTCTCATATTGTTGTTGTTAACTGTCATCAAGTTGGTTCCAGCTCATAGTGACCCTGTGCAGGGTTTCTGTGGAGCGACCAGTGAGCTTGAACCTCTAACCTTGTGGTTCAAACCAACCTTGCAGTCCAGCGCATTAAATCAAACCAAAGGTTTTATCTTTAGAACTGACCAGACTGCTAGCTTCTGTTGTTTTTCTCAATGCCTCTCCTTTTGGTGTTGGGTGACAGAAAGCAGAAAGTGTGCTTGAGGAGGCCTTATGAAGAAATCAGGGAACAAAAACCACATGGACAAAGGAGTCCATGTAAGGGAGTAAAGAACATATATATAAGCTCTGAGAAGACTCGGGATATAGCTTAGGTATCGCTTCACTAGTTCAACCTGACAGTTGTCAAGGTAACTTGAACTCAGGACTATTAGACTAACAATCTCTAGAATTGATAATGCAGGAGACCACAGACTTGATTAGGAATACTGTCTGCGGCAATTTCACTAACTAGTGATAGCAGATACACTGTGTAATCAATTGCTTAATACCTCATCTAGATGGCACAAGTAGAAAGGAACAGAGCCTTTGTGGGATCCCAGGCTTCCCAGACGCCAAAAAACATTTTAAATAATGATGAGAATTCTTATTCAAAACCAAATGCCTTACTCACAATCCTTTTTTTTTTTTTTGACATCTAACAAAGTCACATAGATACAGGCAATCTCAACTTACGACAGGGTTCTGTTCCAACAATTCCATTTGTTACGTCAGTTCTGACTTACGTTGAATACCTCGTTCAGGTATTTATCTATAGTTTTCATTATTGTTACCTTTTATCAGTATCTTTAGTGTCCTAGTGTAGTGCTGTAGGATAAGCAATGAACTGGTAACTACAAGGCTACCGTTCAAACCTAGCAGCCACTACAAGGTCACTATGAGTCAGAACCAACTTGACGGCAACTTAACAACAACAACATCAGTATCTTTATAAATCCAGTCTTTGTCTTTGGTGGTTTACGTGAGAATGATAATATCCAATTGCTTGCTGCAACACCATATGCAGTAGATATTACTAGTAATAAAATGTAAAAAAAAAACAGACAGATAATCAAAGCTCATATAGTCGCTATGAGTCGGAACCAACTCCATGGAACATAATAACAGCATTCTTATGATGTATGTGACAGATGAGATTAGTATAATAACCCCCCAGTTATTATATAATATAATAATATAATAACCCCCCAGTCTTAGAAGTAACAGAAGAGCAATAGCTTGGACAGGACTTTAGCCTCAGTGCTAGAAAACAGGTTTGAGGTGTTCTTTTAGCTACAGTAGTGTTTCTGACATGAAAGTGTGGGTCTAAACTTATGAATCACCAAAGGTTCAAAACTTAGTGACTCTGTGAAGAACATACTGTGGTATTTTCATTCTGCTCTGTTAGGCAAGCACTGATGGGAGGAAACTCACCAAATTCAAATAGATGTCAAGAATATGGTTCTTTCTGGGAGATTTTGTGAAGTTCCCTGGTTTTCATGAAATAACTACAAATTCTCTAAGAGTTGCTTTGTCTATATGATATTATTAATCCCATATAATTATTCAATAATTTTTTCATACCTGACCAAAGTGCACCTTAGTGTAGTGTTTATGAGTCGGATTGCTAATATCACGATCAGCGGTTCAAAACTACCAGTGGTTCCATGGGAGAAAAATGAGGCTTTCTGCTTCCAGAATGATTTACAACCTCAGAAACTCTATACAAGATCGCTCAGAACTGACTCCACGGCACATAGCTACCACCAAGGTTGTAGAGCATACACCTAGGTTTATGTACTTTTTTCATAGTCCTGTATGTAGCAGGTGCTTAAAAGTTCACTGGCTGTGCCCAAGGCTACCCTCGCATTCAGTGTTTTTTACTGGAAGAACTCACAGAAATCAAAAAACAGGGTATATACTCATAATCACAGTTATGACCATGAAAGCCTACAGATTAAATCTCAGCACAGGGAATAGGCACACAGGGCAGAGGCCAGGAATGAGTTTCCAGTCATCCTCCATTCATACAAGTGATTCTGAGTTCTCCCAGCAGTGATGTGTGTGACAAGTATTACCAACCAGGAATGCTCACTTGATCCTTGGCGTCTAAAGTTTTTATTGCAAGTTGGTCATGTAGACAAGGCGATCCCATGTGACTGACCTTAGTTATTCACTCTTCTTTCTCTCTAGAGGTCAAGTTGATATTACATGACCCAAGTCCCCACCATAAACCAAATCACATTGTTAGCATAGACTACAAGAGATGGCCCACGGCCCCAGATGTCAAACATATTCAAAGGGTTTAGAGGTCACCTTTTAGGAGCTTATTGTTGTTAAGAGCCATCGAGTTGGTTCCAATTCATAGCGAACCTGTATAGGGTTTCCAAGGAGTTGCTGGTGAGCTTGAACCACTGTTGCGGTTCAAACCGACTTTGCAGTCCAGCACGTTAACCTTCATCACCACACCAGGCCTCCCTTTTAGGAGCTGGGTGAGAGCTAAACATCTCTTTGGAATGTGCAGGCTTTGGACAAGCCAGCGCTACTGAGCCAGCCCTTTGTTGTACTCTCCTTATGGGAGCAGGCTAGAAAGTCAACTCTCATGAACTGTGTGTTTTGAGGAACTTCGCCCTTTTACAAGAGCACCTAAGCTAGCAGGTTATCCAATGGTGGCTTTGCAGGGCTAGTCACTCAGCAGCACATTCAGAGCCAAACCCCAGACCTCTGACCCTCCATCCCAAATGTTCCTTGCCCCACTCCCTTAGGAATATAGCTGCGAACCAGACAAAGCCAAAACTGTGAACATCTGCTTTACAGTTATTCCCTTGAGGGCTGAACTCTAACTTGGAAAATGTTCTTTTCCCTCTCTAGTGTGAGGATGATGGTCAGATGTTCTTCAGTCTTGACGATGGGAATACCAAATTCTCTGACCTGATCCAGCTTGTGGACTTTTATCAGCTAAATAAGGGAGTTCTACCTTGCAAACTCAAGCACCACTGCATCCGAGTGGCCTTATGACCTCACGTCGACTCTTGGCTTAAGACTGGAGGAAGTTACACTGGAATGAAGAAGAGGTCTGTCTGTCGGTTAAGAACACATATCTATTCGGCACCTTGGGACTCAGAGAGAGATGAGTTTGTTCGGTGCCATCCAACCAAGATTGACTAGTTCGTTGGATTTAGCAATGATTTGCTGCTGAGGAAGCAGCAGAATCACCTCCTGCTACATTTGCCAAATCACGGAGGGTATGAGAAATCATGTGCTAACTTGAGAATAAACTGGAATGATCATCTTGGCTGGGCCACTTAGGAACAAGAACCGAAGAGAAATCATAGGAAATGGACTCTTGCCCTGGAATAATCTTGACAATTAAAACTGATATGTTTACTTTTTTGTATTGATCACTTTTTTTGCACTCCTTTGTTTTCAATATTGTATTCAGCTTATGTTAGGAGAGGATGTGGCTTTTCCGTTCAGAAAGGCATGAAAGTTCAGAAAGGCATGAAACCGTTTCATATGGGCAGAATTCAAAGACTGAATATAGGTCCCCAAGTGTGTCCAGAGGGTGCTCCCCCCCTCTGCAGATTACCACAGTGTGGATTTAGCTCACAAATAACAAACCACCCCCGCCCCTTCTCAGTATACTTGAAGACGTCGTTTTTAGTACAAGGTGTTGACTGTGGTAGGCATTTGGCATGCATGATTTGTGGGCCCAGTCAAACAGCCACAGCGTGTTAGTCATTTCTCTATGCACAGATGTCCAATACGTTTGCCATTAACGTGTCTTGTCCATCACAGTTCAGGAGACTATATTTCCTTTGAAAAGTAACTTTTGCACAGCACAACCAGGGCTGAAACAACCTCGCCTCTACTTCAACGTTGGCCAGACTTCCCAAGGCACACCCAGTCCCCAAATCCAACAGCCGTGCTGCAGAATCCTCCAGGAGGCGCACTTTTAGCCTCAGAATCTTCATAGTATTGGCCTGTTCGGGAATAATCCCTGCCTTACCCCCTTTTCAAGGTGTGAGTCATTCTTTGGCTGATCTCCCTCTGAAAGAAAATGGCACCTAGCTAGTCTCCTGCAGTGTCCTGTGGGTTTCCATGGTGATGAAGACACAGAAACACTACAAAGGCCACAGACACGGCCTGACATTTAAAGTCCTTTGCTTCTGACCGTCCTGCTGAAACCCCCCCCTAAGCCAGCCATCGCAAGGCAGCTAACGGCTCCTCCAATGTTGGTTTAGGGTCCTAAGTACCTCACAGTGATTATGGAAATGGACATGGTCTATCAACACAACACGTGCTTCCCCCTTTGGGGAGAGCAATCCGAGGGTTTTTCACTTGATCCCCTCCGCCTCTTAGGCGCCACCTTTGACGATTCCCCTTAGCTAAGTGTTCAGGTCTGAGAATGACCATGGCCTCTGTAAGGCAGAAAGGGCTCCCTTGACCAGCATACAGACTACTGTGGTGAACAAGATGATATCTTTACTGCGAGACTTTGTAACACTTGACTGGCAACTCTGCTGGATTGCCTAAAATCCAACTCACTGAAGTGCTCTCAAAGGAACAGCAACTCACCGTTCTTCAGTTGAAACACCTAGTTTAGGACAGACAGGTAGGTAACGAATTTCAGTAGCACATTTTAGCTGTAGAGACACACTGTATTGTAGTTTACAGATCACACACTATTATTTCCCATGAGACATCTACTTAGAAAAATGAAGAAGTTTTAATAAAACATATTTTTAACCGGAAATACTAAATTGCAATTTCTTCCTTTTAGAATTATTAAGTAATACTTAAGTTCAGACTAGATGACGTGTGTCTGCTGAGCTTCACATTAGGGAAGGATCCTCCAGTTTTACCTTTGTATCTTTTTTCTCCTGACTGGTTGAAGTAAACTTCCCCCTGTAACAGACCTTTTTTGTTTTGTTTTTTTAACCTCTAGGATTATTTTTGTTGTTTACATAGACAAGTTTCATTAGCGCATAATCCTTCTCTCACACCCCTCTCCCCATAGGTAGCTAGGATTTATAGTGTTTCATATTTATAAATACGCATTTTATTTAAAAGGAGATTCACAATTTTGTATGTAGATGGTTTGACATAGTCTTTTGTACTTTTCCAGCCTAAGCGAATTGTTGGAGAATGTAAACCGCCCCTAACATCACAGCAGCCCCTGGCTTGCCTGCCTTTAGGGTTGGGTAGCTGGGAATTCCACCTAGAAACAATAAAATCCCTAGAGTATGCTGGCTTCCAGCCCAGCAAACCAAGGACTGAAGGACATTTGACTTTTATTTTTGTATTTAAATGACATGAATGTAACGGGGACAGCTCAGGGTTGTTTTGGAGCCTGTTGAATTTTTATCTCTGCCTGTAATTTTCTTTTCTAAAGCAAAAATTTCATGTAGCAACCTGGACTAAGTTGAGAAGGAAAATGCCAAATGTTTTTGGTACTAGTTGAATAGCTAAGTTCTGTTGCATTAGGTGTTAGTTCCAGAAAGTATTTTTGTTGGTTGAACTTTAAAGAAATATGTGCCTCAGTCTAGATGTTTTGTCTTCTTTTCTGCACTTAATACCTGACAGTGTGATCAATCTGTTCACCTTTCCGGGGGTGGGGTGTGCTTGTTGTGGTTGTGTTGTCGCAGTGCACGCTAAGAAATGGTTTGGCGTTGTTGAAATGTTTTCAGGGAATGCCAAAGGTATTAACTGTAGAGACAAAACCTTTATTCCATGTGCTTTGCTTAATTTTGTACATAGCTCTTGGGCTCGTGAACTTAATTGTAAACTTTCAGGTAATTTTTGTACAAATAAGGGACTGATGTTCTGTTTCTTTAACTTGAAATAAACATGAATACAGTGTTCTTCATTTGCTATCGTTAGTAATGTCGATTTCTATATTTAACAAGCTGGGCTGAAAACCACAAGAGTTTCAAATCAACCAGTCACTACACAGGAAAAAGATGAGGCTTTCTGCTTCTGTAAAGATTTTCAGTCTCAGAAACCCTATACAGAGTCACTATGAGCTATGGCTAGTAAAGCAGTAAAAGCCTTTGGAAGTGACTTAACTATTTAAGTGTGCTGTTCTTCCATAGTGAAAAGCTAGCACAAGTAGTTTACAGAGGCTTCCAAGGGGTTTGAGGCATAGACACAGAACCTTGGAGATGGCTTGACACTGGAGAAACCCTATGACTCTTTTTAACATCTTACAGCTCCAGGTCTCTGGGAAATTGTTTGCACTCAAATCCTGGTGCTATTCTCACACCTGGACATTGTCTCAGCCCATGTCTCCTCCTCTGTGGGCCTTGATTGAAAATCTCCAGTACCCAGTGGCTGTTGAGTCTAGTTAACTCGTGGTAAGCCCATGGGGGTGAAAGTAAAACTGCTCCAGAGATTTTTCAGTGGCTGATTATTTGGAACTAGATTGGCAGGAACCTATGGGTGGACTTGACCCTGTAACCTATCACTTAGCAGTTGAGCCCATTAACCGTTTGTACCACCCAGGGTACTGGTGTTTGACTCAACGAACATGCCCCCCCTTACACTGCTCCTTTCCCGACTTCCCCTGCACACCTCTCCCAGGTATTTTTGTAAACACGCTTTGCTAATTTCAGGGGCATGGGGCTGGTATTGTTGGAATCTTTTTTTAAAAAACAACAACATGTAGAACACGGCCTGATTTGATTGGAGTAGGGTAGAGGCAGGAGACTTGGTGTGGTGCTGTAGCATAAATACTGGACTGCTAACCACAAGGCCAACAGTTCAAACCCACTAGCCACATTCCTTGGAAATCCAACATAGTGGTGCTAGGAGTCAGAGCTGACTCTATGGCACTTAACAGAGAAAAGATTCCGCTTCCTTTCTCATTTTAACTTTGTCATCATTCCTGAGACTCTGCACTTACCTATAATGGTTGTTAAGTGCCGTTGAGTCGGTTCTGACCCATAGTGGCCCTATATAGGGATTCTGAGGAGTGGCTAGTGAGCTTGAACCACCGACCTTGCAGTTCAAACTGACCTTGCAGTGCAGCGCGTTAACCCACAGCAAGCACCACACCAGGGCTTGTTAGGGATGATAAGACTGAGATAAAACTTCAAGTTACAAGAGTCAGAAATGTCCAGGTGTAAGTGTAGCACAAGGATTTGAGTGCAAACAATTTCCCAGAGACCTGAAGCTGTAAGACCCAATCACATTATGAGGAAGAGATGCCCATTCTCCATTTATAGAGAGGAATTGGGATCAGAGAGGTTAGAAAATGTTTCCACAGATTTTGTGGCAGATCCAGAATCTTCTAGACTCCAAACACGCCACCAGGTCAATAAAATAGTGGCACAAGCTTTAACCTGCCGCATGATTTGTTGGTTTAGATTTACTGTCATGTACTGGCTCTGCATTGCAAAAATACATATCTCCAGGAAGAACGTTGGTGAACTACCACTTGGTAAGACACAAGAATGTGTGATTAAAACAGCAGGAGGCCTAAATATTTGTAACCAAAATTGTTAGCTCTTTTCATGTAGAATGGGATTCTGAGTGGCATACATTGGTAAGTGCTTGACTACTATCAGAAAGAGAGCTCATACGCCCCCACAGTTGCCTTGGAAAACAGATATGGCAATCTTTCCAAGTGCTCACAGCCTTGAAAACACGTGGGGAACACCACGAATCAGAATGAAACCAGTACAAATATCAATGATGGCAACTTCATAAATGTTTGTAGCAAATACGTATTTTAGCAAAAAAGAAAGTGGGACAGAAGTTTTCAGTTGCCTGACCCAATGTGATTCCTGAACCGAACCCCTTGGTGTTCCATCTTCAAGTCTGTTCTGTTGAAGGCTAAGGCTCCACCCAACAGTGTGCCCTCATGCCCGAATAGAATGTGAGACCTTGGTGCTGGGGTGGGAGAGTCAGGAGCCCAATGAAAGGTGCTGAAGGAGGAAATGACCCATTTTCATCCACCTTGTCTGGCTGATTTGCATTTTCCCGCATAAGTCATTTGCAACAATCTCTCCACTGTAATCTATTACTATATTTACTCCTTGCTTGCCATGTCATTATTAGACATTTTTTAGTAAAAGAAAAAAAAATCTACTTAAAGTCAGAGGAGAACCCATGTGTTTTGAGTGAGAGTACCTCCCTCCTAAGCAACAAGTCCTTGATCCCTCCCACCCCATTGTTCTCCACAGTCATAGAAACAAACAAAGCTAAAAGGGAGAAAAACAAATGCAAAGGCCAGACGGGGCCTCAGGCTGTTAAGTTGCACTAGCCTTCTGCAGCCTTTCTGAAACCCCTGCCAGGCAGCTTCAAACCAACAATCTGTGAGAAGGCAGCAGAGGGGACATACAAGGTGTGGTGGTTGCTTTGCTGCAGACCCCAGGACTAACTGT